CGCCGGGCCCCGAGCCCGAGCCCCGCTCCCGCTCCCGCTCCCGCTCCCGCTCCCGCTCGGGTGGGGAGTTTACGCTTCACCTGGACGCAGCGCGCGGGGACCCGTCTCCTGCCGGCGGCGCCGGGTGCTGCCGGAGGACGGGCCCCGCGCCGGAGGGAGGACCCGAGGCAAACAGCCTCCGAAGTCGGCGAGCGGGAGGCGACACCGGGAAATGTGCGCCGGGAATCGCGCGGCGGAGAGCGAGGCTGGGGGTGTTGACCCGGCGACACGCAGCCAGGGGCCGGCTGCGCCCCCGCGAGCGTCAGGGCCCTGCTCGGCGGCTCCCTCAAAACGGGAGCCAGAGTCCAGCCACGCCGGCGCCCACCCTGCGGGCGCCCGACCTGCGTCTGCCGTGCGTGCGGGCGCCGCAACTTGAAGGCGCTTGTCTCCGGCGTGTAAACACCGGCGATGACAGCAACGTTTTCACCTCAGAGCCGAGCACCCGCGCCGGGGCGGAGGATCGCCCGGGACGGGACTTCTCACTTGCTGGCGTGAGGGCCGCCCGCGGCTGGGGAGGAGAAACTTAGGTCCTGCTTTCGGGGGCTCTGGGCTGGGAGAGCCTGGTGAATTACACGCCCCCTGCCCCAATTAATTGTAAGTAGGCTTAAGATGAGGTGTCTGATCCCTCCTTGGGGTGACAGACACAAATAATGCAGCAAGGGTAAAACCAGAAACGCCGGAAACTAGATTACTTCAAAATACTTTTCTAGTTTTAGGCTTGGGAAAAATGTTGAGTGTTAAAAAATCTGGCAGGCAAACAAGCTCGGGTGACCGTGGTCTTTGCAGACATGACTGCTAAATTGCACAGCAGGCTGTTTTTGATCCAGAAAATGTCTGAATAAAATGCTTGCGGAAATCACCTCTCTTAAAACAATCACCTACTTCTGGGGGTCATAGATATTAGCTCAAAGTTATGGTTGGAAGAGAACAGTATTGTGGCTTTAAAAATGCTGAGGGCTGGGGTTGCTTGGTGGCTCAGTACGTTTTGTAAGGATGCAGCTTAATGCCTCTAAGTCACATCAATCTGTTTTCCTCATGACTCCCCCCCCCACCCCCACGGATTTGCCCAAGTGTTTTTATTCTGAATTGCAGCAGCCTTGGGGAGGTGTTGGGGGCAGCCTGAGGCTCCTTGTTTACTCTGCCTGTCACCCTAACCTGCTGCCTCTTTCTTCCGTTGGAGAGGCTGGCAGAGCCCTCTGGAAAGGCTTGGAGCTGTGTGGAGCCTGAGGATCCCCCCACCCCCATGTGACTCCAGCAGATAAAATACTGCCTCTTAGCTGGCATTTTGCTTCTGGGAGTTGGGGTCTCACCCACTCCTAACTCGCACTGCTTCCTGAAGGGATTCCTAGGTTTGCTGATTTGTGCATTTTGGATCCGTTTTTGCATGTTCTGACTCAACTCAGCACTTAGCAAAAAACGTCAACTTTAAAAATCGGCCTGCTTTGAAATTTTACTTTAACTGAGGGTGTAATACAAGTTGGGCATTTCGGTGTATGAAGAGCTTACTTGTCTCTAATTTTTTTTTCTCTTTCAGTTGTAGCAAGTTTAATCATCCTCCACTTGTCTGGGGCAACCAAGAAAGGAACAGGTGTGTGTTTCTTAAACGGGCCGGGGGGCGTCTGTCTACCTGCACTTTCCGTTTTCCCCATTTTCTGAGTATTTCCAGAAGAGCTGCACATCTTAACCGTGCACCTAATGGATTGGTTTCGACTTAGACACCATTTAGAAATTAATTTACTAATGGGTGTTATAAGAATGTTCTCTCTTTTAGTTTCAGACAAAAGGGGATGATAGTTCTATTGAATTTTTTTTTTTAGCAGAAAAGCAAAGCACCTCAGAGACACAGAAGTCAGTGCAGTGTGGAACTTGGACGAAGCATGCAGAGGGGGGGATCTTTACCTCCCCCAACTACCCCAGCAAGTACCCCCCTGACCGGGAGTGCATCTACATCATAGAAGGTGAGTTAGGGCCCCATCTCCGGGCACATCAGTCACTTCAGAGACAGGGCCTGGAGCTCAGAGCCCTCCGTGTGCTGCCTGCCTGCAGCTGTAAAGTCTGGCTCTGAGGTCACCGTCACGGGCTGTCTGTGCAGGTCAGTTCTGGGAAGTGAGCAAGACCCCACAGTGCAGTTTGTCTCACAGTTGGCGCAGCTGACTATGTCTCTAAAGTAACGCAGGGCACAGGGTGGCACGGTGTGGCCTCACGGGCGGTGGGTTCTACACTAGTGTTTCCTCGGACTCACTGAAAATTCATCATTATCAAGCAAACTGGCGTTATTTCAGCGACGTGAGGCACAGGCACCCCAGAAATGCGTCTAACCCCGGGTCTTCTGAGCAGCGGTCTGGGTGCCCTGGTCTTGGTCTCTGCATGGAGGTGACAGCATCGTACCTGAGCCCGAAGCCAGGATTCCTGGTGCTGATGCTTCTCGTCATGCACCCCCCGGCCCGCCCCCCCCCCCCCCAGAGTAAATGGTCTGGGTGGAGAGTTCCCTCCCTTGCACAGCTCCCACGGCCATGACCCCTGCACACTTTCCTCTCTGACAGAAGGTTTCCAAGTGTTGGGACATAGTTTCCCCAACGCTGTGGCGGCCCCTCCCAGCCAGGCGGGCAGTGGAGCCTTCATGACCATGAGGCCTGCTCGACTTTGCTTATAACTCAGGGCCAAGCTTATTGTCAGGGGTTCCGAAGAGCTAACATTTCACTCATTTCAAGAACTTCTATGTTGAGATGACTCATTTTCTCGTTGTAACTTTGTAATTCACTTTCCCCTTCTTGCTGTGCTTGAAGTTTTACTTTGTACCAAGACAGAACACAGTGCAAGAAGTAAGAACAAGAGGGTGCTCCGGTAAGACAGCTATTGCTATAGGGCATTGAGAAGAGTACCCCAAAACCCCCAAACCTGCCCGCTCTAAATAGGTTTTGTCATTGGCTATATCAAGACAAAACATACTCTGGTGCACACGACCTTCACGAGAAGGAGCTTTAATACGACTAGTGTTAAAAGAAAAGGGGAGCAGATGGGGAAGAACAGAGTTTCCAAACCGAGCACCCCAAGTTACTCACCTCTGGGGGGAAACGCTCAGCCGCACAGGGCTGGCCCAAAGCAGGGCCCCTGAGACCTGAAATCTGCCCAGTCTAAGGCGCCTGTGGTGCAGCTTGGCCGCCAGGAGAAACAGCCTCGGGCAGAAACAGCCAGACCAGTCTGGGGGGAGGAGCAACCTCACGGCCAAGATCAGCGCTGCCATGTCACCCCACCCTGGGTCTCCCACATCTGTGCCCCCGGTCCTGACCCCAGGCTCCTGGCTCCCCACCCTGCTCCCCCGGCCCAGGCTCCTCCAACTTCTCCTCCCTGCCCAGCTCCACCCTCCCTTGGGTGGGGCGGGGCACCTGGACCCCCCCACTTCCTGGGGCCCCTCCTGGCACGCTGTGAAGCTGAGGCAGCTGAGCTCCCACAGTTTTTCTTCCTCTCGTGATTGATAGAAAAGGAAGTATGGACATTCCGGGTTAAAATTAGTGACGATTCTATCAAGTTAATATCACACGTCAATCTTATATTTGTTGCAGATCATATATAAGAAACGTTTAAAGCACATAAAGACACTTAGTCACCGGAAATAGACCATTTTGGCTCCTGGGATTCAGATGAGGACACTTAGGAACAGAGGGGACAAGTGTGTCGCTGAACTTCACCTAACATAATTCATGTTTTGAAGCAACAGTAGTTGAAAACTCCAAATTATTAAAGTGATTAAATCGACTAGTCAGCTCAATTAGGAAGATTAATTCAGAAACAAATTTTTGCATGTTAATTGTGCTTCCATGTTTTTTATCGGCATTAAAAACACTGCCGACATTAGGTTTAACGTCAGGCACATGTTCACAGCTATTTGTAGTTATGTCGAGGGCAAAATACAAAGTTGGGAAGTAAATAGACTCTCTCACCACTATTCATTCTACTTCCAGGCTCCTTTCGAGTCACACAGCACACAGTTCACACAGGCCGTGGTCCCGCTCATCGAACACACCTCACGCAACAACTGCTCACCCCCATGCCAGAGACGGTCTCGAGGGGATTGGGCCACATGGACAGTCCTTGTCTCAGGGACTGACAGAAGGGCCTGGGGACAAGGCCCCGTGAGGGGCTCCCAGATTAGCGGAGTTTGGGACCGAGAGGAGAAAGAGCAGGTCCCAAGGAGTCAGTCTGAGGAGCCCCCCACCCCCCGTGGGTGTGGGTGGGGCTATCACAGGGCTCGGCCCCCCCCCCCCCCCCCGTGAGGAGACAGAGAGTGAGCCCCAGATACAGACCCCAGAAGCCTCGAGCCCACGCTCCCTGCTCCCCACCTCTGAGAGTTCCCACATCACCTTAGATAATAGGGTGCTCCCAAAATGATTCCAGAGAAGCCCCGTGAGAGGCTGAGCAGGTGACTGAAGGGCAGGCTGTGGACCGGTGCCGTCGCCCCAGACCAGGTGAGCCCGGCCAGGTGAACCAGAAAGCCGTGCTGGACTACAGACGTGCCAGGTGCAGAGTCGGAGGAGGAGGAGAGGGTTTGGGAAGCTGAACCAGGTGGGACCTGAGGCCAGAATGCGTCAAGGCAGCCCCAGGGCCACGTAAGGCTCTGGCCTGGCAACTTGTTCAATGGACCGTCCATGCTGGACAAGGAACAGGATGGAGGAAGAGTGTTGGAGGTAGATGTGGAGGCTGCAAGCCGGTGTTTCCGGAGCTGCCTTGTAAGGAGTCTGGTGCTGGGTCGTGGGCCCGGTGGAGAAGCTGCTGGGGCCGGGCTGTAGATTGCAGGCCGGAAACTTGCAGGGTCCTCAGGCTCTTGGCACGGACAGAACCTGCGGAGTACTTGAGGGCTGTTTGCAGGGCTTCAGGTGCTGCAGGCGCTCAGGCCCAGGGAGCCTGGCTCGGCAGCCTTGAGTGCAGCGGCCTCTGGCTCACATCAGAGCAGCAATCCTGGGGTGCTGGCGAACCCCAGAGCTGTTCTAGAGTAAGAGGAGAGGAGGAGGAGGGCGCTAGAAAACAGGACGTGGCTGCCCATAGGAAGAAGACAGTAACGGGGCAGTAGGAGGGGGAGGGCTGGACAGTCCAGTCGGTACAGCACAGCAGGCCAGGTTCAGGGGACCCCGGGCAGGGAGGACTCCAGATACTTGTGGGAACAGTGAGGTGCAAGCTGAAGGCATGCTTGTAGGCGGCAACACTCCAGAAGCTGATGGGAGGTTTCAGGGTGCAGGCGAAGCTGTCTTTGATGGGCTTGGGGGCTCAGTTGGGGGTGTGTTTGTTGGCCTGAGGGCAGGATGAGAGGCAGACCCTGGTGGAGGCACTTTCTTTTTTTCTTCCTATTTTTTTTTTTTTAAGATTTTTATTTATTTGTGCATACAGAACTGGGGTACAGGCCAGAGGTGCAGGGGCGGTGAGAGGCTTCTCCAGAGACAGAGCAGGGAGCAGAACAGGCCGACTGACGGAAGAAGTCCACAGCTGAGGGGAGCAGCGGGCGGGTCAGGGTCACGTCCAGGGCAGGCGGGGATCGAACTCATGCTGAAGTGCTTTAGCTTCTTAGTGCTGCGCTTCAACACACTGTGCCACCAGGGAGGGCCCATTTTCTTAGTCTTTTAATGAAGCAAACTGCCCTATTTAAATATGAAAAGAACAGACTGTTCTACATATAAAGGTGAATCAAAAATATAGAAGGAAAGAGGAGTATGAGGTGGCTGAGGCACACAGGTGGTAGCTGATGGGGGGGGGCTCTTTTACCCTGCAGCCTGTTTTCTGGCTTCTCTGCATTGTTTGGGTGCAAGACCACTTGGGCCTCTAGGTGCCCCCAAGGGCACTTGGCTGAAGCTCCCTAATGGATGCCGACATCTGAAGAGGCTGGGCACGTAAGTTAGGGAGTGATTTCTAGGTCGCTTCAAATGGTTCACGGGCACCATAACCACCCCCTTCTAAAGCCTACAGCAAGAACTGCGCGACACATTTTGTTAAAAGGGGATTTCACTCCACACTGAGTGCCATTGCTCATGAAGTTACAGTTCTCCTCAAGGTGCTTGGATCAAAAGCTAAAACTCTTCTTCAGTGATCTTCAGCATTTGCTGATTTTGTAATATGCACCAAACATGGTAAAACCATTCCTGATTTTTTATCCCAGTGATAGGTTTCTTTCTAGTGTCCAAGGTATCAGAAATGTTTTTAGAGATTAACAATGATCCTTAAAATTGTCTTTTGACACTTGCTGATCTTTAGCCAGCTGATCTTCAGTTTCTTGCTGGGAGCCAGCAGGATTATAGCTCCTTCTGGGAGTCCCTGATCTCCAGGTCACGGTGTCTCTCAAGTCTGTATAAATTTGCAGTCTTCATGCACACATGCCTTGCGCTTTAAAGCTGTAAAGGATGCAGTTCATTCTGTATCTGAGGATGAGTGTGGGGTGTGCTCAGCAGCTCAGAATGACTCCCTGGCCTCCGGAGGTCCTGCAGGTGGGTCCGCTGATGGTCTTGGGCCGGCGCGGTAACTGGGAAGCGCTAGAAAGGTGCAGGATCAGGGCGACAGCGATTTAGGAGCTGGGCCAGATGTGTGCCCGTACTTCAGGGCAACTCGGGTGTCGGTCCTTGATGGCAGGATTCCGAGCCGTGACGGGCACATGGAGAATGGGGAGCACGAGCAGATGCACCGGCTTGCAGTTAGTGGGCAGAGCTGCTGGCCTGGAGTCGCCTTCCTGATTCTGTAGACAGCTATGGCAACGTGGGTGAAAATAAACTCATTTGCAGTCCTCCCAACAAAGATATTTTTGAGAAATCCTCAATGACAAGAACTATGCCAACTGCTGAAAAGGAAGGTGAATGGAGATAGGCTTTGTCTCTAGCAAGCAGACTCAGAAAGGAGCCTCTTGTAAGTGACGTTTTCCCGCATAAACAGGGGTTCACAGATTGGCAGCGTATGGGTACTCAGGCAAGTGGGAAGGCCCCTGAACGCTGGAGAGAGCATGCTGTCAGACAAAGCCTGGCATGGTTGAGATGGCTTGAGTTGGGACTGTGCAAGGTGTGAAGAGCCTGGCCCGGTGGCCCGCAAATGCCCGGGGTCTTATGTCAAGGGTCTTATGTCATTACCTTGTCGTTGGCGGGGGCTGATGTGTCAGGATCAACTCAAAAGGGAGGTGACGTCTGCCACAGAAAAACTGCTCTTGCTATCTTGGAATATTGGGTGAGGCCCTTTGATCTGTTCGAGACTATTCATTGGTGGGCTGATTCTGCTACCCAGTTCCCAAGCTGTCCGGCATCACCACTGCGCAGCCCAGAAAATCTGGGGTGAGTTCAGGAAGACGTCTGTCCACTTTGAAGCCCGAGTCAGCAGCTTCCACACCATGCCCCGTGTGCTAGCTGCGTGAGCCACATGGGGCTGGCGTCATTTTAGGCCAGAACAATAGTTAATGCACTGACAGTGATTGTAAGGATCCTCCTAGAGGCACAGAGGCACTCTTAGAGAAATAGTGTCCTGCTCTGTCTCTGGTGACTCCTCTCACCCCTGCACCTCTGACCTGTGCCCCAGTTCTTGTGTGCATAAACAAATACATCTTCTAAAAAATGCTAAGGCTGACACACTTGCTTAGCACTTCTGCGTAACATGGCTGACAGAAAGTAGACAGAAAACTGGAAGTAGAATCAGAAAAGTCAAAGATTTAAGCAAGGACTCTTTCCCCCCCCCAGCTGCCCCAAGACAGTGCATTGAACTTTACTTTGATGAAAAGTACTCCATCGAGCCGTCTTGGGAGTGCAAGTTCGATCATATTGAGGTTCGAGACGGACCTTTTGGATTTTCTCCAATAATTGGACGTTTCTGTGGACAACAGAATCCACCTGTAATAAAATCCAGTGGAAGATTTCTATGGATTAAATTTTTCGCGGATGGAGAGCTGGAATCTATGGGATTTTCAGCCCGATATAACTTCACACCTGGTAAGTTGGGCTTGTTTAAATTGTTCTCTGTATCTTGTTCTTTCTTCTTATTACAAGAAATTTTCGGAGACAGCTTCACGGTTTTCCAAAGAATTTTCCAGTTTAGTTTAAAGCCAAAGCTTCAGTGTGCTGTCTTTTCACTTTGCAAACTTTGACTGGAAAGTACGTTTTCCTTAAACGACCGCGTTTCAGAGGTAAAGTGTGATGGTCTGGGGTCTGTGTAGTCACCAGCACACACTTAATTAAGTGGGCTTCCGTTCTGCTGAAATGTGTAATTTGAGAGGCTGTCTGTAATAAAAAACTAATCACACGCTGAATCCCAATAAGCTTGAAAAGGCAATTGTAGTATTGTGAAATGTATCCATCAAAAAGATCTTTGGAGAACTTGTAAAAATTTCACTTGTTCTGAAAATTACGACTTTTAAGCAAATGAGTCCTAGATGAAGGTAGTCTATCTCTTTCTAAAAATGCAAATTCCTAAGCGTTTGGAGAGAAAGAAAATGGACACCCTTTGCATTTGACCATTCACTTGCAAGGTCTGGCAGACAAAATCTGTAATTACATAATGACACTTTCCATGTCTATTTTTTTTTTTTTTTTGACCTGCTCGCATTAAATAGGGCCTGTGCTATTGACAGGCTCGCTTCATGATGACTTAGCACTTGATTACATGAAAGCTGGTCATCACATTTTTTGAACTGCAAGAATGTCACAGGGAAGCAATTGGCAATCTCTAAGTAGAAAAACCATCCAAGTGATGTAATCCACATTGTTTCCATGTAATCCACATGTTTTCAACTTGCTGATGCTGTTTACTTAAGTGATCACAGGCAACAGATGAACTTGGAATCGTAGATGCCTCTTCAGTGCTTCTGCCTGGGGCCGCGAGCTTCCTTCCTAGCACAACACTGTGAAGTCGTGTGAGACATGACGGCTTCGCCATCACACCTGGTCGATGTCACGTCAGCCAGGGTAACCAGCTGTAGGTGTTGACCCGGACCTCTGGGAGTAGGTTGACGGTGTCTCTGAGCGGTTGAGGTTGTAAGGAGGCTTTGCCAACTCTGGTTTGTTCACTGAGACCATGGCGTTTTACGTCCGGCCCTCAGACGAGCTTGTGTTCTAGAAGGTGCAAACATTTTGGCGGCTTTATCCGTGACACTGTTACTGCTGGAATGCAGGGTGTCCCCCCTCCCCCTTGGTGATAATTTTGACTACAAGTAGAACCCAGCGCAGCGCCTCCTGGTGTGGGCTGGCCATTTACAAACTGTATGGCCATCCTGGCTTTGTGGGTTTCCTGGCCTTCCCGGCTCACCCCTGCATGTGCGTTGCGAGGCTCTCCACGCGGCCGGCTGGCTCTGTGATGCAGCACCGGCTGTGCTGTCTGAGGTCTCAAGCCTGCTCGCTGCTTGTTGCTTTTCAGTTCTTGCTTTTGTTGCCCCACCTTCTTTGTCAGAGGGAGGAGAGGCCTTGAGTACCTGGAACTACTGAATTGGACGGGAGCATGAAGAACACCCCCATAGAGTTAAGCGTAAGAATAGAAGGAGGCTGTTTGCACGCAAGTCAACCAGCAGACCCTGCCCTTGGCCTCTGAGCGCAGGTGGGGCTGGAGAAGAGGCTGGCGAGGCTTCCCAGGCCGCAGACGCCCGATGCCCTCGGCAGGCTCTCGCCCCTGGCCTGGCCTGCAATCCATTTCATGAAGAGGCAGGTTTGGGGAAGCCAATTAGCTCTTGAAACAGGAAGGGGCCAGGGATACAGAATGATCATTTGTACAGCCTGGAGGGAGGGAGAGTTGGTCAGGCTTCAGTTTCATCTTGGCTTGATTCTTTCTTGGTACTGTGGTCTAAGTGGTGATTCAAACAATCGCCAAGAGGAAGGCATCTGTGTTCAGGTCACTTTAATGAGTGACATGACACAGTGTGGCTGAAATGTCCCGGGTGGCATCCCGGAGGGGAGCCTGGCCCCTGCCACCTCCCAGAATGTCCGCAGCATAGTTGCGAGTGCCGCTGGGTCACCCAGCTCTGGCCCATCCTGACTTTCTCGTCCCAGGCTGGCTGTCAAGTCTAGACATGGCCCTGCACGTCCTCTGCCTCAGTGTTTTTGTTGGAGAAGAGGACATTATTGACACCTCGTGGGATTGTCTGAGAACTGCTTGTCAATCAACGCATATTTATGAACTTTCCTCTTGGCTATTGGTAGCAAACCTTGGTTCTTAGGAGAATGACAGGAATCCCAGATTTTTGCAGTTACAACCTCTGAATTGTTTTGGTGGCTGTGCAAAGCTAACTGTTAATTTAATTTATCCTTCCATGATGTCATTTCCCTTGTGCAATGTGAGGTGTCTTGGGCTTCGTGGGGACTGGCCTTCTTGATGGCAGACATGAGGCTGAAAGGATGGAAAGCTGGGTGGGTTTTTATGGACCCGCCCCGATCTGGGATCCTGGGCAGCCCCCATGCTGAGACGGCAGACCCACCCACGGGGTGCAGTCACACACCTGCACGTCCACCTGTCTGTGCAGTATGAACAGGTGCATCTTCAGTAAGGATTCTTGCAGTCACACCACTTAGCTATTCCTGTAAGCAGATGGACCTGTGGCCAAGACTGTGTCCAGAAGTTTATGCTCATTGAAGCTTAATCCAGTAGCATCCAGCCAAGGAACTGGCTTCTCGCCCCTAACAGGGGTCGTTTTTCTTCCAAGAAGCTCTGGGTCTCTGACTGCTGTGGTCAGCTCCCCACTGGCCTCCCATTTCCATCTTGTCTAACTGGGGCACTAATTGTGTCAAGTCTTATCTCCACATTTGTTTCTGTTTCTTCATATCTGAGGCTCTTTGACTTTCTTCTTACTCAACTATTTTTAAAGAATGATCTATTTATTTTTTATGCATACCAGAACTGGGGGACAGACCAGAGGTGGTGTGAGAGAACTCGCCAGAGGCAGATTGGGGAGCAGAATAGGCAGAAGGACTGAAATCCATTGCTGAGGTGGCAGTGGAGTCTGGAGAGGTTTGCGGCACCATGTGGGTCACACCCTGGCTGGGGATCAAACTCCTCATGCTGCAGCGGCTGCGGACAGCTTCATCGTGCTGTGCTTTAATCCACTGCGGCACCAGGGAGGGCTCTTCTCCACTCAGCTTTTACCAAAAGCCTGATCCTGGACTGGACCGGCCCTTGGGCTGCTGAAGGGCGGTGGCAGGCATCGCCCAGGGAGTGGTTCGTGGCTGCCTGGTGGGGAAGCAGGGCGGGGCGGAGCAGACTCCCCTCTGGGTGCTGTCCTGTGTCCTTTGGCACATTCTGACGATTCCTTGCTTCTCCTGTCATGGGCTGTGGCTCCTTCCGGGGACTGCGCTCTTCCCAGGTCCACAGGCAGCAAAGGGTCAGCTAGGATTATGGTCAAGCATGAGGAAGGAGGGCAGCAGGATGGGGCAGCGGCTGGAGAGAAACAGGCGAGGTCATACCCTGGGCTCTGTAGACTCACAGGACAAGGGCAGGGCAGGAGGGGGCTCCCGGAAGGCCCCTTGATGTGCACAGTGCTGGTTCTGAGTCCCCTCAGCGGTCGTCACTCCCACTTCGGAGGGGAGCGTTGAGTTGAGAGTGATTGGAAAGTTTGGAGTGACTTGATGGGAAACTTGGTCCCTCACAGAACAGTTGCAAGAACACCGATTGTGGTCATGGGATTTTTTTCTCATCCTAATTGGACAATAGTTTCGTTAAGAAAACTGAACCAAACAAACTGCAAGAAAACACATGGCGAGGAACATTTTTCTGCTAAAAGTACTTTAATACTGGAATGCTACTTCCCGAACTCCAGGCAGTGATTACCCCACCAGGGCGTGTGGTCAGAGAGCTGGGGGTGGGGTGGGGCAGCTGTCCAGTCGTGCTTTCACCCTGAGAAGGGCATTGACTGTTGGTGTTACTCAAGTGAATCATTTAGGGTTAAAATAATCAAAAAGGTGAAATAGCGTGGCTGGTAATTTTTCAGCACAAATGTCCGTGGTTAACCTTGGCTTTACCTTCAAAGGGAGAGGGTCTCCTTAGAACCAAGCGTGCTCACCAGCAGCCGAGTGAGCATTCACAGGTATGTGTTGGTTGGCCAGCAATTCTCAAACAATCCCGTGAGGTGTCAATAACCGTTCTCTCCTCAGATAAAAATACCGAGGCTCGGAAGGTGAAGGGTCATGTCTAGACTTGACGCCGGCCTGGGACGAGAAAGCCAGGACGGGGCCAGAGCTGGGGTGAACCAGTGGCACTCACAGACAGCGGGGTGTTTGTGGAAACTTCCGGTTTGGATGATACTTTTTTTTTTTTTTGCTGCGGTGAAGTTCTACACACTCTGCTGTAGAAACCTAACGCCGTGTGCCTCCAGGTATGACAGGTGAGGCAGAGCTAGGCACGTGTGTGTGGAGCGGTGGGCACGTTGACTTCATTCTGGTGCTTTGTGCTCACATGGCCTCTTTCCCCTGAGGAGCGCAGGTGTGGTCCCTCCCCGCTCCCTTTCTGGCCTCCTCTCAAATTCTAAGCCAATTAACTTCAAAGGCAATGCAAAAGATACATGCAGAGCAGTGATTTAAATTGTTTTATAAAGAGTTCTGTGCATATTCAATCAAATACAACATTCAGGTAAAATATTGTCGTGAAAAATGCTATTTCAATTATTCACTGCAGTACTTTTTCTCTTTTTTATCTGAAAGGTGACTGCCCGTGTATTAACCACGTGCATCGTCCCAAATTTTCTTGTCTAGAAAGTCAGTGTCTGAAATAGTCTGGCGAGATTGATGAAAAAATGTCATATTCTTATTATCAAGATCATTAATTTTAACAACTAAAATTTAATTTGGCACTAAAAGGTGAACGAATAAAAGGTTTTCGAGGCTAAGATTAAAAGGACTTTATTGGGTACTTTGTTTTTTCATATAGAAATAATAGACTAGCTCTATTATTATGAATACATCTAGCTCCAATAATACTTGTTGTCTTTCTATTATATTTATCCTGTAGACTCAAA